GAAGGCCCTCCGAAACGCACAGCTCGAACCCCCAAGTCCAGTGGAGCTGCAACGGATACGCACGAGCTTCCGCACGGTGCATCCGTTGGAGTGGACTCCGTAATCTTGGACGGACCCAGCCGTCGCCTTGCTGGTCAGCAACAGCATGCCGGGCAAGATCTGTTCACTGTTGGGTTGGATACCTTGAGAGACTTCCTCTTTGTGCCCGTGCTCCCGTACTCGATTGGTGCGGACGAAGCCAAGGCGGAGCCAACGCCGTCGGACGATGCTGGCGCGGTCGGCATCCAACAAGTTGGTCATGAATCGCCATCCGACTAGACCGACAACCACGACGACCGTGGCGTGTGGATCGCCATCTGTTCATTTTCCATTTGTGTCTCGAAAAGTTGATTTAGTTCATTGGGGTGTGATGTCTGCCTAATAACATTTCAAGTGAACTTTAGTCTCGTTGTATAGCCATGGTGGAAGCAGGAATATGAAGTAGCAGTACGCAACATCAGTCCTCGCATTAGCCATGAAGACGCAAAGACGTTTCGTAGCAGTGTACTTTATCGTCCCCTGTATCAGCTATGTAGGACAAGGCCAGCGTCGGACTCGATTGCCGTGTGAGTCAAGTCTGTTTCACTTTGAATTTAAAATGAATTTAAAATGGCGATTTGCGGTACTGCAACGTTACGTTACCTGTACTGGGTACTACTGTAGTACTACGTAGTACTTGCTTACTGTACTGTTATAGTAGTCCGATGAGTGGTACAAACTTGAAGTACTGGAGTCGACCACGAGAAGCGCGAATTCAGCACTGGAGTTTTACTGTAGTACGCATGACAACTTTTGAAGCCATTTCAATGGACCTCGACACATTGCATGGAAACATGTCGGCGTTTCCAACTTACACGAGTAGTACGTAGTAAAAGTACTATTAATACTAGTACAGTAGTACTGATACTGCGAATCTGACTGTGAAATTAGGTTAAGTACTGTTTTTAGTCTGAGAATTAGGTACTTCTCGTACAGAACAGTACACTATTCATATCGATGACCCTTGGGCAAAATTAGGTACTACTAGTAAGTACTACTACTACGTAGTATGATATCCAGGAGGCTGCGGGAAATCGCAAAAACCGGTTCGCCTGGGCAAAGCTCGCAAAACGTAATACTATAATTTTTTGGACAAGACTTAATTTAAAATGAATATAAAATGTTTTCGAAATGTAAACAACCCAGTTTACATTTTGTTGAGATTACGCTCCTAGATTGTAGAATGAAAATACGTTCAAATAGAGTCAATATTGGCCACGAAAGTTCATTAATCGTGTCAGTTTACAACACGTAAACACCACATTTTGCTAAAAGTGTTCTATTTTCGTTTGAAAATCAACCTGTGGAATTGAATACGTTTTGCAAGTTTTGCCCAAACTACCTTTTCTAACTAGCGATCGGATAAAGTACGGATCTTTCGCTGGCATGTACTACTGTAGTAATAGAATCATTTACGATCCTATCGAACTTAAGCTGACCCCAATCAATTCGCATCTTCAACTCCTCCGCCTCCATACGATAAATTACTTTGTCGTCAGTTCATCGCCGTAGTAGCAGCTCCTGCCACCATGTACACCCCCATCGGTCCCGCGGCTTCCCAGCCTCGAGGAATGGCGTCGTTGCTTCATTGGAAGGCGTACTTTGTCGTTGTGTTCGTTGCGTTGGGCGTGCTCTTCACCGCGTCCAGCATCCACACGGGCCAATCTGCCACTTCCGTCTCGGTTGCGCTTCCTGTGGCCAATATGCAAACGCTCCCTTCGTTGGCATCATCGTCATCATCGATTGCTCCTGTGTCGTCGGAGGTCGATCCCGTGGAAGCAATCCTTCGCAACATGGTTCGCCTTCCTCCATCTTGGACATTATCCCGTACCACGCACTAACACCTTCCTGTAGACGTTAGCGCAAAAGGTGGGTCAGATGCTGCAAGTGGACATTTCGACCGTTTTGTACGGCAAGAACCGCAATCCCCGCTTTGCGTTGAACAAGGCTCGCGTGGCGTACTATGCCAAGCTCGGCATCGGGTCGTACTTCAACTCGCCATTTGCCGGAGGTCCGTCGCGCCATGAGTCGTGGACGGCGGACGAATGGCATGACGTTATCGACCAGATCCAGGCCATCTATGCCCAACACAACGCCGTGCCAGCTATCTACGGTATCGACACGATCCATGGCGCCAACTACGTTCGGGATGCGGTCCTCTTCCCGCAGCCATTGGCCGCTGCGTCGTCGTTCAACTTGGACGTAGCCTACCGCATGGGGGAAGTGTCTGCCAAGGACAGCTTGGCGGCGGGCCTGCCGTGGATCTTCAGCCCTGTGCTAGGCCTAGCCATGCAGCCCAAGTGGGCTCGGGTATGTATTAGTTCGCAAACTACTTTCTCGGGGTTATTTGTGCCAAACTCATCGGTCGTTGCTGCAGAACTACGAAACATTTGGCGAAGACCCGCACACAGTGTCTGCGTTTGGCGTGGCCCTCATCCAAGGACTGCAAGCCAACAACCGAACGGCGGTACGTACGATTTTCACGTGTGTATCTACTTTGTACTGGTGTACTTCCTCTGTTCCAGGTTACTGCCGACATTTACTTTGAATTGACACAGCCAATCTCAATTTGGGCGAATGATACTTTGTATGAAAGGGAATTGCATGAATTTTCGCAAAAGATTGATTTATAATCAGCGCTTAAAGCAATTGTAAGCCAATGAAATGTCATAAATGTTCGAAATTGAAGAATTACAGCCAACGAAATGCAAATGTCGCCAGTAAATTGGAACATGCGAATTTTGAAATGTCGGCAGTAACCTGGAATAGTGGAAGTATGTACTAGTACAGAACCTACATTTGGTCGAATTTCTGTCGAATTTCACGCTATAAAGCTAAATTCAGTTGATTTCAGTTCATCGTGTATGGCTAACCACACACAAAGCAACGACGTGATATGACGACATTCGTTATTGCTGCAGAAATTGCTCTTGGTTACGTGTATATGTTGCATGCAAACTTCAATTTTACTGTATATTATTTGTTTATGTAGTACTTTGCGAGGTTAATATATATATATTTACATGCCGAAGCTTCGATTTTCAATTACTTGGCGCAAATACACTCATATGACCTGTATGTACTACCGGTATGTAGGCATGCATGAAGCATTTCATTGGGTACTCCAACCCGACTTCAGGCAACGACCGGGCGGACAGCGTCATTTCCGACTTTGAACTGGTCAACTATTACGCCCCATCCTTCCTGGCGGCAGTCCATCAAGGCCGCGTCAAGTCGGCCATGGAAACATACTCGAGTGTAAACGGGGAGCCAGTGATTGCCAGCCACAAGTTGCTCGTCGAG